TCAACAATTGTGGACATTATGGGCATGTTTCTTATTATAGTTTTGAACACATATTTATGTTTACCACATTCTTTTCCACATTACAAGAAACGAGAACGATTTCAATGATATCGAGAATTGCGTCAATTTGGATAGAAGTTAAATGTAAACACGAAAATTTTAACATGAATAACGTTTCAAACATTTTTCTTCTAAAAGATGCTGCTTCTCTTGATTTTGAAAATTTGTCGCTTGACTGCCCGAGTTTATCTTGTATTCTTTCTTTGATTTTGTTACCAACAAACATGTTACTTTCTATATATCCTTGACTCAAAGATAGCGAATCGAGAAGGAATTCCAAATCCTCCTCTTTTTCTTTTTCGTGTTTTTCTTTTACAGAATTATTAACACTTTCAGTATGTTCTATTTGGATTTGTGGATTTTTCTTTGTAGCCTCTCTTGTGCCATCATTACTAAATATATCTTCTTCCATATGAACATCAACACATTCTTGTGAAAAAGAAGACATTTCTTTCTCAAAAGATTGAATTTTAGATTTTTCGTATGTCATTTTTACACGTCTAGGAATACGTGGTGTATTTCGTTTAATTTTAATTTATTAGTTTCCAAAGATAATTTACTTTGGTTTTTAATTGACGAAAAAGGAAATCATCACTTATTGATTTGATAATTTTGTTCATCTGTGCAATCATTTGAGAATTATAACACATATTTATTCTCTGTTTTTGTTCAAGAATTAGATATCGGTATTTTTCAACCAATTCAACATGTGAAGCAAATCCTGATTTCTGTAATGCTTCTATTACGAACCAATTCAAAATTGAAAATTGTCTTTTATTAATTCATTCATTTTTGTTTTATCTGGTCGTTCTTGCAAATGTGTTAAAATGTGATTTTCGCTACAATATAAGAATAAACTTCATCGCAAATAAGGCAATAATAAACTTCTTTTAAAATTGTTTTAAAAATGCCACTTATATTTAATATAAATGTACAATTTAATTCAAATTCTTTATAATTGTGTTCGAGACAAGTTCTTGGTATGTAGTTCGACATTTGTTATTTTCAAGAATGTATTTGTATTAAAATTTTTTATATGTGTTATTAAACAGTATTTTGTTATAAATTACTTCAAAATATGAAAATTGGTATTTTATCATGGTTTTATTAATATGTGTTGAATTTGTTTATTAATTCTGTATTTATTGTCATTAAGTGTATTACTAATAATATACTTCTTGTATTAGTTTATAATTTATTTAATGGTTTATTTGGTTTATTATTTACTATATTCAATTTCTCAAAAACCCATAATTTATGTTTTTTATTGATATTCAATTTAAGAGACTAACAAAAATTGGTGTTATTAATTGAATTCTTTTTAAGGTGGGTTTGGTTTAGAATGATTTTCTTTGTGTAAATATAATAATATTATAATTTATAGTATTTAATTCAAATAAGTTTCATTACAAATTGTTCAAAATTGCAATTGTTAATAATTGAGTTTAATAAAAATGAAATTAAATATTAATTAGTTAGTAATTAAAAAGTTATCATAATGACAATTCGATTGATAATTGGATATATAATTCTATTTTTATTTTGAATTATCAAAACAAATAAAGTTATTTATTCGGCTTATTCATGTAAAAAAATCATTAATTTATGATTATATATATTATTTTTATTGTTTATTTGTTATTTAAATATCTCAGTATACGTCGAAATCATTTTTTAATAATACTTTTATTGTAATTTCAATGATTTGTTAATAGTTTAATCTGTTTAATGGTTTATGAATAATCTTAATAAATTATTAATTAATGGTTGTAATTAAGTTTTATAATGGTTATATTATTTGTAACATTATATTTTTAAATGTTTTACAATTTTAAAAATTATTTGTACAATACTTCAAATTATTTTTATTATACATTTTAATACATATTATAATAATTATAAATAAAAATAATACCAATATATTGATAACAAGTTATTTATATTTTTTTCAACTTTAGTGTACCTTATTTTAACTATATTTGATAGTTTGTTTTATATAGCTACAAAATTATATTTTAAACTAAAATATTGTTTAATATATACATAGTTATTTAACTATTTATTGTTTTGAATTGAATTTATACTTTTTAAGTAAATATATCAATAATACTAATTTATTATTTGGGTTTCGATAGTTCACTTTATGACAAAATTAATTATTAATCTGAACTATGCAAATTATTGCTAACCCTATCAATTTTATTTCCACGTTTCCATAAAACCCTTAAAAGGTAATGTCTTAATAAAATTTGAAAAAAACATTTTTGAATAACACTCTGTTTTTGTCTAACTATGATTCAATAATGAAAAAAATAAAAATTTGTGAATTATTATCTCAGCAAATATTTTTTTTATCTTAAAAA